TGCAACAAATAAACAAATTTTAAACATGACGATTTAAATGATTGATTTTAAAAGGGCTTTAAGATGTACTTGAATTTAAGATTTCTCACGAAATCCGTTTTAAAGTCAAAATTAAATGGCCCGATTGAATTGGCTAGTTTTAAAAGGCTTTTAAAGAGCATTTGAAATAAGAGTTCAAATGCTGCTCTGTTTGAAAGATATTTTTAGAACGTTTTATCTTAACTGAAATTAAGAAAAGCTTTAAGAAATTTAGTGATTCACTTATTTGAAATTATTGTTACAAATTATGAAAGTATTCTTTCTTATATTAAAAAAAAATGTTCCGCAAATTTTAAGAAACCCCAGTAAGTACAAGTTAAAGTTTAAGTTACAGTGGCGGCCTCATAGGAGGGGCGTCACATAATTAGGGCACCTCAACCTGCCCTAGTATAAAAAAGGAAGAGTGCTATATGAGGTAGCCAGAGACAGAGAGGGAGGCGCACATAATTCTTTGTACGAACTGAGAAGAGAGAAAAAAATGAGAGTATAGGAGGGATTTGGGACGCTGATTTCTGGAGCTGAAGGAAGTAGTACAGCACGGCTGGACACGAGAAAGCAAGGACACACACCTGTTTAGCCTCATATTTTAGCTTAACCATTTTCTTCCTTATGTCTGTGTTTTCTCTCTGTGAACAAATGGATCTGGTTATTGATATTATTTCTGATTTCTTTGAACTAAACATGAGCTAAATTCTTTAGCTAGGATTATTGATGGAACCAAAGTTGCAATGAAGATCTATTTGCTATTTTAATTGTTTGTGTAATTTTCATCATGTTTATTCAAGTGTGTTTATTGTCGAATTTTTGTTAAATGACAGGCCATCATTTAGTGGAAAATATAAACTAAAATTAATTCTGGAAATGTTAGTTTTAGTTAGATCTATCTTAGATAATATAAGAGAATAGTATAGAAATATATTATTGCCTTGTACGACCCATTAAAATTGGTGTTTAACTTCAGGTTTTGTAAACTAAAATGCATAGGAATATGTTGGTTTTGCTTTAAGGAACTATAGGCATAGATTTGTCGGAAGAGGAATATGCAGAATTTTAGGTTGACTGGATGAACTTTACTATAGCAATCCTATAGCAAACGCGGTCAGAGTTGCAACCGAGGGAAAATCAGTTTTCCTAGCCCTTACCCATCATTGATTCACAACTAGTAGCTTAGATCTTGTTAAGTCTTACCTCTTGTTTGCATTTTAATCACACCCATTTACTTTACTCATTCATTTTACTTAATCCACACCAATTTGGCACTCGATTCACTCTCGATTATTTTAATACAATTGATTTTTGTAATCAATTTCTTATTAATTCAATCCCTGTGGAGACGATACTCTTACACACTATTGTATTACTTGTTCGATTACGTGCACTTGCGTAGAGTTATTTTCATGCATAGGATTTTTGGCGAACAAGTTTTTGGCGCCGTTGCCGGGGATTGTGATTAGTGAAAATTATTACAGAAATCAATTTTTGTTCATTTTAATTCAATTTTGCCTCTGTTAGTCACGGTCACTCCTCTTGTTTTTCTGCAGGTCTAATTTTCTTGCATGAATAGACTAAGGGATACAGATTTGATTCCCTTAGACCCTGAGATTGAAAGAACTTTTAGAGCAAGAAGAAGAGAACAATAGGGATTTGTTGGAATAGAAGAAATGGCTGACGGAGCAGGTGGAAATAATCAAGGTAACCATACTGTAGCAATAGCAGAGGACAGGGACAGGGCAATCAGAGATTATGCCATCCCCATGCTCGACAGGCTGCATCTAGGCATTGTTAGGCCAGAAATTCAGGCAACTAAATTCGAGCTAAAGCCGGTAGGGCTGTTCATAAACCCGAACAACCCGTAAACCCAACCCACCCCGCCCCAACCCAAGCCGAAAAAAGTAACCCGCAGCATTATTTTTAAATTTTCGGCCCATTATACCTCTGGCCCGAAATGTTTGGGGCGGATTGCGGGTTGGGGCCATAACAACCCGTAATCCCCAACCCATCCCGCACAACATTCCCCTAAAATTTCGGCCTAAGCCCAACCTGCCCAAGTTCTACCCTAGGCTCGCTGACATTAGGTAAGACATCTCTAGGTAAGACAATAATTTGTATGTATCTTAATCTATTTTATTATATGAACTCTAAACTATCTAAATTATTACTTAAACTATTTTCATTTCTCTTGTAAATAACTCAACTTCATGTCCTATTACAACCATTGAGGAGCCTATGACCCCGTTCATTTTGCCGATTCGAGTTTAGAATTCGAGTTTTGCTACAGTAAAAAGCTCTCAGAAACAGTCACATCTAACTTTTTTGCTACAGTAAAAAGCTCTCACACAAAATTACATCTCAACTCGAATTACAAACTTGAATCAGCGAAGTGAACGGGCCCTATGAGTGTGGATTGATAAAGATGGTTGATGTTGCAATGCTTGCTTTGGATGGATTTGTATTAAGATTTAAGCCTCTATGTTTGCTTTGCTTAAGCTATTTATTTTATGTTAAGACTAATTTATAAGTGTAGACTAATTTATGTTTGCTTTGTATTTGATGTTGGATGGACTATTTTGCTTCATGTTTGATGTTAGATAGACTGATAAAAATGGTTGCTATTTCTATTTAATGATGAAATTTGAATATTATATTGAACTTTAAGTCTTTGATTTTTTGAATGTTGAAACCGACCACCCAACCCACCCCGCACCGCCCCAACCCAACCCAAACATCGTTGGGTTGTGAAATTTGTCTAGCATCGTTGGGGCCAAATATGTGCAACCCACACTCTTTGGGACGGGGAAAAAAAATCATACCCCGTACCAACCCAACCCATGAACAGCCCTAGAAGCCGGTTATGTTTCAAATGCTCTAAACCGTGGGACAATTTAGCGGGATGCTAACCGAAGACCCACTTCTGCATCTTCGGCTTTTTATTGAAGTATGCGAATCTTTTATGACCCCTGGTGTGATAGAAGAGGCTTTTCGCCTCAAGTTATTTCCCTATTCTCTGAGGGACAGAGCTAGAGCATGGTTGAATGCTCTGCCACCAGATTCGGTAGCTACATGGACTGATTTGACTGAGAAGTTTCTAGTGAAATATTTCCCTCCAAACAAAAATGCCAAACTCAGGAATGATATCACATCATTTCAGCAATTGGAGGGGGAAGCTCTATGTGAATCATGGGAACGTTTTAAGGAGTTACTAAGGAAGTGTCCGTACCACGGACTTCCTTATTAGATTCAAATGGAAACCTTCTGTAATAGACTCAACGCTTCAACTAGAGCCATGGTGGATGCATTAGCAAATGGTGCCTTGCTTGTGAAGTCGTACAATGAGGCTTATGAAATTTTAGAGAGAATGTCCAACAACAACTACCAGTGGCCCACTGAGAAAGTTTCCACAGGAAGACTTGTGGTTGGAATTCATGAAGTAGACGCTGTGACTGCATTGACAGCTCAAGTTTCTTCACTGTCCAATATTCTGAAGTCTATGAACGTGGCTGCAGGAGCTAATGCAGCAACCCTAGTTGAATTAGCTTATGTTTATCGTGGAGAATGACATTCGTTCGAAAACTGCCCATCTAACCCCGAGTCGGTTTGTTATGTGAACAATTTCAATAGGAATAACAATCCGTATTCCAACACATATAACCAAGGGTGGAAGCAGCATTCGAATTTTTCTTGGGCAAATCAAGGAGCTAATTCTATAGCAGAAGGGATTTTGGTAACATGTTCTGTCATTGCAACCAATAAATTCTTTTAGACCTTTTTTTTGACTTACAACACTAAACTCTCTTAGACATTTTAACAAACACCTAGAAGATCATGCCAGCCAAATCCACACAAAACATACATGAATTGCTAATTTTATCCAAAACAAAATTAACTACCATCATCAGAAACAATGAGAAATCATTTTTCACCTTCTATCAAGTCCTCAAATCCAAATGAAGCTCACAACAAAGATGATAAGCATACAGAGAGAAAGAGTGCCGACGATGAAGAAACTTCAAATATCCTCGGGTTTGTCGGCAACGAATTGACACAATCTAGAAGCTTAGCTAAATTACTCTTTGAATTTGCATTATATAGCCTCAAGTCATAGTGAAGTAAGGAAATCTCTTCAAAGAAATCTTTGACAGAAACTAAGAAAGGGCTAAATGGATGTGCTCACCGAACTTTGAAACTTTAGAATCAACAACCAATTGGCGGTGGCAGCAACGAGAATCGGCGGCGGCGACAACGACAATGAGAATCGGAGTCGGCGATAGCGATAATTGGAGTCGGCGACGGCAAGAATCAGCGGCGATTGCAATAAATCAACGGTTGAGGAAAGGGCTTTAACGAGATCTTCAACCAACGGTTTAACGAGAAAGAGAGATCTATAACGAGAGAGAGAGCTAGAGAGAGAAGGAGCGAGAGAGAGATCTAGAGCAGAGAGAGAAGTAAATTTTCTGTTGGGAGGAGAGAAAATAAGAGCGAGAAAAATTTGGGATTCTGAAAATGCTAGAATGAAATAAGAAAGATGGCTGTATTTTGTGTTTTGACGGTGGTGAGTGTGTTTTGAATTTTTAGGGAGCCCGCTCAATGAAACCACGCAATTTTAATGTGTGTATATATACACACACATATATATACATAGAAAAATATAGACAGAATTATTTTTAAAAGTTATTATATATATACAAAATAACATTTTTTTTAAAACGCTATGAGTAACAGTTATTAAAAAGTTATTCTGTTGTAGTGTAGAAGGCGGAAAATAAATAAATAAATAACTTAGCTCTAATCTAGACAGCCATGGAGTGAACTATGTGAGTGTAAATAAAATGTAAAAAAAAAGTATTCTTATATGTTTTAAACCCTTTTATTTTTTACATTATTTTCATCATCTACACTCAAATTCTTCAACATGTATGAAATGATGATCAACATTCTTCTTAAACGCCCATGACAGAATCTGCAACAAGATGACATACTAAAACCGGACTGTTTTAAATTATCTTCCGTTGCGAATCGATCATGTAACAATTTTTAGAGGACAGAGTGTCAAGCTTGAACGTCGATCATTTAACAATTTCCAGACTTTTTGCATGATTATGTTTATCGTGCAAAAATTTAACAACGTACTAGAAGTAACGTGGTAAGAAATTACACCACATTTCTTATATGATCGAATTTTAAGCAATAGATACGTTATCGTATTAATCCGAAGAACTTACACAGGAAGAGGACTACATTTTAAAAGAGCCTAATATGTATTTCATATAGAACTCGATTTTGTCTCCCTTATACATTTGTGTGCATAATAATCATATATAAATAGTGTATAAAAAAAAAATCTTTCTTATCCATTCTTTAGTAGAACTTATGGTTTATTTGTTTAATGAATCATACTTTTTCTACTATGATAGATTGGTTAGATCAATCTCTTCACTCTTATGAGATCTATATTTATAATATTTGTTTTGAGTATCTTTATTTTAAGAAAACAAAAAAGAAGACAAAATATCTTGACAATATTACACAACTTTCTTTAACCCTCCCCTCCCTACTATAAATAAAGGGAAAATTAACGCTGAAATTACTGATTAATTAGCTACATGAAGGGAAATAAAAGAAACTCCAAAATAAGAAGTTTCCAAAGGGATACATAGAAAGCTTCACTTGCTTCCTGTATATATAAAAAATTTAAGCAATCTAATCAGTATCAAAAATTCAATATTCAATACAGGACAAGATATACTTAAGTAGAAGCTGCATATTTTTACCTTTGTATAATTTGCATTTTCCAACTTCCCCACCTGAAAGCACAAAAGAAAATGAGTTGTAAGAGCTTTTACATTTAAACTCTGTATTATTTTTTATGGAATTCTTGTATCACAAACCTGAAAAAGTAATGATAAGGCCAAGATTAAGTGAACAGGCAACACTACATGGCGCTTAAAAGCCTATAAACAAGAAATGAAAAGAAGTCATTCCTCATTCTCGCACAGTTATACGAACTGGTTGACTGTAAATAAAAAAATAAAAAAAACTTTGACGAGTCTTTTTAAAAAAGTTTCTCCAAATTCGTTTTCTTTTGTCTTTATGTCTACCTTTTTGAGGTTTGATGTATGTGTGTATATATATATATATATATATATATATATATTATACTAGTTAAAAATGTGCGCGGACATTTAACAACGTTTATACAAATTGTTAAAAAAAAGAAAAAAAAAGAAGCAAAATGGCAAAAATATTTAAGGCAAAAGACGTAAGAAAGAAAGGCCCAAAAAGTTTAAAAAAAAAAAAAAAAAAAAAAAAAAAAAAAAAAAAAAAGAGGACCCCAAAAAGTTTTTTTTTAAAAAAAGTTTCCCTTGTTGAATGGAGGGGTTGCAAAGCTCCTTGCTAAACGTTGCGCACATGAGAGGGAGAAACTTATTCTCCCTAAATATAGTAAAGATACTTACTTAAATTTTATGCTTATTTTTTTATATATTTAATTAATGATTTATTTGATAAACATGATATTAGAAAATCAATAAATCACAAAAATATGGACATGAGGACAAAAGGGATAAATTTATAGATTTTTTTTTCTTGAAAAGAAAATACAAGATGGAAAAATAATTACTTGAGGCATGTAAATGGCAGCTGCTATAGTACCAACATAGTTTAACAATAGCATCCCAGTGCCAAAGAATGTAACATTTCTTGGTCCGAATATCACTGGAAATGTTCGTATGTTATGCCTGCAATATTGTTAAAATTACTTATTTATATGATGCCGAAGAATATCAACTAAAAAGAAATAATAATAAAAAAAAGATTGAAATGAAAGATTTTTAGACTTTGAATGCATGGATATGATGACACATAAAAATTAATACAAAACTTACTTCAGATCACCTTCAACATCTGTAATATCTTTCATGAAGCTAATGACCGTACAAAACAATGTAACAAAGGTGGTTATGAAAACAATTGAGGGGCTGCAAAGCAAATTGAAAGCCAAATATGAGGATACCATAAAAAGGGGGTTTTTTTTTTTTAATGAATGAAGCAGTTTAAAATAACTAACATTAAAGAGATTAAAGCATCTCAATTAAATTGCCACCTTTTAACGATATCATTCCATACCAAACTACTATTGATTCGTCAATAAAGAAATGAAATAAGAGAAATACAAGAAACACATAAATCCCAGAAAAGGGCGACATACTTAATATATAGATACTAAAGTTGAATTATGTCCTTGTTTGCATGGCCTCATATATCAGAAGTTATACTTACAGCTTATAGTAATATAAAATTAGATACTAAAATAAATTACTTAAATTTATTCAATATACAAAATGCTTAACTGTAAAGTATACCAAAAAAATAATTTTATATTACTTTAAGTAATTTTTTTGTTGGTGGTCATTAGATACATAACTTTCTTTTTGTTGATGTCATTGATACATAATTTTTTTTTTAACTACTTAAATTTATTCAATAAACAAAATGTTGAACTGTAAAGATATCAAAATAACTCCCAAAATAAAAAAAAATCAAATAAATTTTTTTTTTTTTTCAAAAAACTGTTACACGTACCTACAGCATAGTGGAAGTCCAAGGGAAGATCTAGTGGCGTAAAGTATACCAACATTTTGAATGACACCTCCTTGCTGCATAATTTGCTTTTGTTATAAAGAAAAATAGTTTTTTTTTTTTTCTCTAGACATTTGTTGTGTATAATATATACACGCGCATACACACATATAAAATTATTATTTCCACGGTTCTCCCCCGAGTTTCATATGGAAAAAAAAAAAAGAAAAAAGAGAGAGAGAATTTAAAATTATAGTAAATTGTAATTAGAAGAAATAATAACCTCACAAATTAAACTCCATCAATGTATGCTAACAATACTGAATTCCCTACTAAACTATTTATACTTCGTTATCAAAAAACTATTTACCATATTTCTCAAATAAAGTAGTACTCCACTGGATCTGCTTCACATATAAGTTTTCTTGTGATCATATATATTAGCGGAATTTAATGCCATAACTTTTGTTATCTATCTTTTCACGCCTCTTTTAACTTTTCATAGGACTGCTATATATTTCCAAAAACCCAATAAACACTATAAATTAAAACAAAGTTACATTACAAAATTTAGAGGATGAGAAGAGAATATTAATACCAAAGGAATCACGATCAATGTTGCAATAGGAGATTCTTTGAATCTAAAAGGAGGAACAGAATATAAGATGCCTGATAAAAGACCAAGACAATATAGAGAAGTAGTGATTACATCAGCTTTCATCAACCAGAGAATAAATAAGCCAACAAGCACATCAAATATCACTAAGAACCATGCTTGTTTTAATGAAAGATCCCCTGCTGCTATAGGTAAATAAGGTTTATTCACCCTGAGAATAGAATATATAACATAAAGACACAGTTAGCTAAGGCCTATTTTCTAACACTGCAGCAAATTAATAAATGACCGATATGAAGATAAAAAAGGCTTTTGCATGGTTATTTATTTTTAAAAAATCATCACTTCGATTCCAATGTTCGTCACAAATGTATGGACAGAAATTGTAATAAATAACATTATTATGAAACTCTAGCAAGTAAATAGCAGGTTTTAAAAATAATTAAATAAATTGCAAATTTACTAAAAATAATAAGAAAAAAACAATTTAACTCATATATTCACTATTTAATTCTATTTGGCTCTCAATCTTTTAAAAAATGCTATTTACTTTAACTCTAAACGCACAACATCTTTGTCACATTAGTTCATAAACCAAACGACAAGACGGCTTTATCCTTTTACTAGCTAGAAGACAAAAGAAAAAATTTAACAAGGAGTCTCAAAGACATAGAGCCACTTTAGCAGATTTTTAGATGTAATAAGGTGTTGATATTTCTTGAGTAATTTGATATAACCCCACGGGGATGTATACCTAAGACACAGGTGGTGGGCCCAACTGATAGGATCCACGTAGGTCTCATCTAGTGGGGTTTAGCGCTTGTGTCTAAGAGGATATATCTTCATCGGACAAAACAAGATTGTTCATCAGAGAAATACAACAAATATCCCTTATAGTATATAAATCTAAATTTTTATCATTTATTTTTTATTAATAATATTATTTTTAATTAAATAATTATATTAATAAAAATAATAATAATAAATAATAAAGATCTAAGGGATGTTTAATTGGAGGATTTAAATTATGATTTGAATCATGGTTTATGATTCGTTATAGTATTTTATCTTATAAAAAATACACGTAAATTGAAAATAATTCTAATCACATGATTCTAATCCATAAACTAAACATCTCCCTAGACTCATCTAGTAATTTAAGAATAAATTTAACAATTTTCTCTTTTTTTTTCATTTTTTTTTTCATATGCTTTAGATGCGTACCTATCGATATCGACATCGTATATTTGATTGATGCCAATGTTATAAGCGTTCGCAAGCATGACGGCAATTAGGCCAGGGAATGACTTAAGCACCAAAGACCATTTAAACAAATGTGGGTTTTCTACCACAACTCTTGCAAATAAAGACCTGTCGAGAAAAAATAATAATAATAATAAATAGTGCATTCAAAAAGGAACTACGTAAACTACCATAATGCCCAGCTGGACGTTAATTTCTCTTAAAAGGTTACTTACGTGGTGGATATAGTTATTTGACACATCGCAACAGGTCTTAAAAAATTAAAGCAAGCAGATCCAAAGCGTGAAACTTTGGTAAGTACTGGATGATGATGATCAGGACCGGTTGATTCATCTTGATGAGCTTTTCTACGTGTAGGATTGGAACCAACCGATTCAATTTGAGCGCATCCCTTGCAAAATTTGTTTGCAAATTTGAACATTTAACATAATCTTAACAGTCATGTTGAAATATAACAAAATATATAGATTATTTACAAATAGCAGAAATAAAAATTATTATGATAATTACAACGTAATTATGTAGCATAGATCATCACAATCATTAAAATAATTACTACACAATTATTTTATTCCTAAAATATTTCAAAAAAAAAAAAAAACAAAACAAAATTATGGTGTTTCAATTTATCACTCTTGTAATATGCTATAGGTAATGTGATTTTTACATTATGGAACATTTAACTACTAATGGCTCTGGATGAAGTAAATACGACAGTATTCTAACAAACTCAAAATCTTTGTAGGTCTCAACTTTTCATGATCATTCACAAAATTAACACCCAAGAATAATGATGAAGTAATTCAAGTAGACAACATGTATAATAAACACCCAAGGAAAACGATTCACAAAATTTTCATTATTCCCCTCACTATAAAGAGAAGTATACCCGGATGGAATTACGCTTATGTTGGCCGTATATTAAGAATCTTGAGAATCTGCTTTTGCCATAAAGTCTTACTGGTAGGATCAGTTTATTTGCAGAGTACTTTGAAGGAGAAGTACTAGAGGATTTGATATTTTTGGTCGTAGGGTTGAAACTTTGAGTCCTAATAGCTTGTACTCCAGAAGAAGAGTGAGGGATCACGAGCTCCATCTATAGGACAACTGAATATAGAGAAGATAGATCGTCAAAAAGTGGAGAAAATTACAAATGCTCCAAGAGTTTCAAAATTTATAGAGGCAAGATAATAGAGATTATTTTGAACTCCTTGAAAATCTTTCCTTGTCTTATAATAAAGGTTATTTTCTTCTACTTCAGCACGAAAAGTTGAATTTCTTCCACTTGCCGAATCACATTATTAGTTATTTTTCGGCGTCTTTGACTATTTTGGTGGCTTATAGTGGCTTTGCAAAATTTATTACGATTAAGTATACAAGTTGTCGTTTTGTTATTAATGTAGGCCAGGGATGAAAATGTCTACACATTATTCATATTTCATCCCTACACATTATTCATATTTTAAGTCATGACATGAATAACAGAGGAAAAAATATTCTTTCCGGCGTGTTCATAAAATATCCACAATGTCTAAAAATATCTGTAAAATCCGTAAATATCCATAAATATTCAGGATAATTTTCAAAATGCCCCCAAAATATCAAAAACACCATAATTTTTTTTTTTTTTCAACAAAATGTGACAACATATTCAAATCAAAAGTAATAAAAAAAATTAAGAATTAATTAGTTCTTAAATAATTTTTTTTGTTTTTAAATTAGTGATTCATATTCAAATACTGGAGAAGAGGATTTTACTCATGCTACACAAATGAAAATCATGGGTGTAGAGCAACCATGGATGAAAATGTCGATGTCAACAGGGTTGTCGAGGTTTTGATTGAAGGATAATGTCAACGAAAATGTTGATGTCGAAGGATATTCTGAGAAAAAATATATACCTTAAGAAAACCTTAAAATTGTTTTATTGAAACTATAAAAATCTTAAAAACAATCAATATTACTTAATTTGGACTTATTTAGTAACAAAAGTAATACGTTTTGGTCGATATAAATGAGAGTTGTTTCAAATAGCATAGCAGGAAATTATCATAATTATATATAGATTATGATTAAAATATAAATTTACATACTTAATACAAACAAAGCACAATAATTCAATATATTACATGAAAATTAACTACCAAATATAATAGAGCACACATAAACTTAAAGTGTTTTCAATTCCAAAACGAGTTTCTAGCATGTTGGAAAGCATTAGGTAGGTTCTGATCTTAATCTAAACAATACATTTACCAATATATTACCCTTGAATAACTCTAAGGTGGTTGTTGATGTGCCACATGCATGTTTTTGGGTCTCTTCCCAATGTTAACCCATAAATTGGATACTGTTAGTTTATCCAACTTGACGAACCTTCTTTAGGGATGTATAATGACATATGAATACTAACCTGTGGTGGAGGATACACTATAATATTGAGCAAATCATCTTAGGTTTGTACTTCTGAAGTAGATGTCATGTGAGAACTATATGGATGATTATAACCATATGAACTTTGTTCAGTTTCTAAGCTCATGCAATCAAAATTCAAGGCCATAGAATCTTCATCAATTTGACTCATTTGAGTCATACCACATATGTTCTTATAAATTATTTTCCAATTGTCTCAATACCAGGACCTGTTGCCATACATCCATGATCTTTATCTTGTGTAGCACGAGTAATTTTCTTCTCTAGTGAATGGACTCAAAGGTATGAATCATCCATTTAAAAAGTAAAAATTATTCAAGAAAACTAATTAAATCTTAATATTTTTGTTGCTTTTGATTTAAATCATGTTAGCACATTTTATTAAAGAATAGGAAAAAAATGTGCTACAAAATTGATTTTTGTGCAAAAGAGATTTCTTAGTGTTTTTGAACATTTTATGGACATTTTTAAAAATATCCTAAATATTTATAGATATTCACAAATTTTACGAATATTTTTAAACATTATGAATATTTTATTAACATATTGGGAAGAATATCTTTCTCCATGTTATTCATATCGCGACTTTAAAATACGAATATTGTCATGGCAATTCGGCGTCCAAGTTCATTAGTATCGAAACACACACATTACAAGAAAAAGGGCTATTAGAGACGACAAAAAGTCGTTACCAAAAATAGAAAGTCGTCGCAAATGAATTTTTAGCGACCACTTGCCATCGCAAACCTGTCGCAAAAGTAATTTTTACGACGACAGCTTGTCATCACAATTATATTTGCGACGACAATCCTCACAAATGAGTCACTGCAATTATTTCGTTAGGTACATCGTTAAGATGACATGGCATTAAGTATTTGCGACGACATTTTTCGAATTAAGTCGTCGCAAAAGACGCAGACTTAGCTGACGTGGCTTATATTTGTTGCGACCACATTTGTAGTCGCAAATAATATTTTAATTTTTTATTTATATTTTCACATTTTAATAATTACAATAAATATAATTCATGATATTAAATATAAATAAAAATTAAATAAAAGGAAATAAATATAAATAAATATTATTATTGGAAAAGTAATTAATAAAATAAAATAAAAATGATAATTCTAGCAGCATCACTAGAATTATCGTTGTTATCATCAGAAGGATTCGGAGGCAGATGACCTGGACGGACATACCACACAGGATGAGTAACCACTAGAAAAGTCATGTTGGGGTGCATTTGAGTGATGAAATCCTACATTATTCTGATGCTCTTGCACAGTTGGAGGTTTTGCTGGTAACTCTATTGTAAGTATTCTTCTACGTGTGGGCTAGAACGTGTCGTAGAAGATCTTACTAAGTGTGAGCCAGATGACGACATATCCCCTCAATAAACTTTTTGTGGGAGTGTGTGACCCACTCCAGTCTTGTGTCCTCTGCAGGTGCCTAGAAACTGCTCCATAATATCCTCCTCATTAAATGTTCCTACTGCGGATGATCCAGGCGCCCAGAAACTGCTCCATAACATCGGGTGCTGTAGAATGAAATATATTTAGTGATCATATAAGACATATGTAATTAATTTAACAAATTCATAATTATGTTCTAACATACCAGACTCACAGTGTGATGGCAACCTATAAGGATCGGGAGGAGGCTACGCTCCCCCTCAAGAGCTAGCACATGTAGCGACTGGGCCAGACATGATTGTCTGCTAAGAAGTCATCATAAACGTTATTATCTTATTTACATAATTCTTATGTTATATGAATAATTATAATTATTAAAACAATAATTGCATTACATAATTTCTATTCATCGTCACTATTAATGTCTTGATTGTCACCCTCCTCATTTTTGTCACTATCATCCTCAAAATCGTCAATGTGTTCCGCAACATAGTCTTCTTCATCATCCTCGACCAGTATATCGGAGTTATTATCCCCAACGGAAGACTTGTCAATATGCATGACATCTAAGTTATGACGTAGCGACAATGAGAGCCAGTAAGGCAACTCCCAAAAGATACTCTTCTTCGTCTAATTTTTCCCTTCTTACCACCAAATCTGTCATGTTTACCGGGCAATCAAGATTCCACCCTTTTTAATTGAGTCAATATTTGCTTAACGGATTTCTGAGGCGGGGGAGGCCGGTCATCGATCAACCTTACCATAGAACTTTTTATTAGTCCTCAACTGTTTCGGGTGGATGCATCTCATGATTTCTACACTTGATACACGGACAACTAATACTCCCAAGTGAATTTACATAATTCTTTCCGACCTCAATAAAAGCACACAAACCATCCCAATACTCATCAAACAACCGGTTCCTTAAATGTATCCGACTCTTGTCCATAGGCATCTCCACTACGAATAATTTATAAAGTTTTTTCAAATTTTATAATAAGTATTTAACATTAGTTTATTTAATTATTTTATTGTTAATATAATTCTAATTAAAATTTTTATCTAATTTTGTTATTCATCATTAAACAAATTTCAATCCAATTACCACCTATTTTAATTTCAATTCTAATTTACAATTCACAATTCTAAATTCAAAATCACAAACTAAATCCAAAATCTAAAATAAAATCACAAACCATAACAAAAATACCAAAATCAATTAACAAAATTCCAAAAGATTAACTCACAAAATCCAAACCCACAAACAGCGGGGGTTGGAGAACGGTAAGGCAGCAGGGAAGGGAGAGCACCAGCGGCCGGAAAATGGCGAGTACATCCGGAAAAGTGGGCGGCGAGGGGGAGATGAAAACTTCACGGTTTTGGACTTTTTTTCTCCACAAATGAAAGATTTGAGGAGAGAACAATAGTACTAAGCTATTTTTAGTGTTTTTGGACGGTTTTTGGAGGTTTTGGATAGAGAGAATGAGAGAAAACGGAGAGGCTCACCGGGAAAAATGGCGGAAGGAGTTCTGCGATTGTATCTATGCATGTGGTTTTTTGCGACGACATTAAGTCGTTACAAAAAATATTAAATAGTCGTCGCAATTAATGTTAAAACAATGGTGTTCTTCTTCACCTCATTAATATTTCTGGGAATATTCTTGGGGAATATACCCTAGTTCATTTTTTGCGACGATAATTTAACAATGTCGTCGCAAATAATTTTGAGGAAACCACCAAAGTTTTCGTCCTTTTTTTTTAGGAAAATTAAATCTCTAGTTATTTGCGACCACATTATTAAAACTGTCGTCACAAAAAATAGTCGTCCTTGATAGAATTTTCTGGAACCCTTTTTTCTGACGACATGTGTCATCGCAAATACAGTCGTTCTGTAAAGAATTTTCTAGAACCATTTTTTGCGACGCGTCTTACATAGTCGTCGCAAAACATAAAGAAATATCTGGAACCTATTCGCGGGAAACTGCCAAAATTTCTGCCTCTTTTTGGCTACATCACCGCCAGCTGTAACCATCAATATTTGTGACAACATGTCCTCGCAAATAATGTACAAACTCGCACCAAAATTGTTGGCGCCAGATTGATTTTGGCGCCAATGGACATTAGCGACGGCATGTCATCATTAATAAGCCGTTCAATTTTAGCGACGACATGTCATCGTAAATATATAAATTTTGTGCAATGACATGTTGTCGCAAATATTTAATGCGACGACAAGTTGTTCAAAAATTTT